CCTTGCCAAGCCGGCTTCGCTAGACCGGTCACGGCCCGCTCCTTGCCAAGCCGGCTTCGCTAGATGTCCTTGCCAAGCGGCTTTACAAGGAAGCCCATTTTCACACTTTGAATCTAGCTGTTGGATTCCGTCCCAAACTGCGAGAGGGACAGCATCCAACAGCTCGTTTCAAGTGTCAAAAACCCACTCCTTGCGAAGCCGGCTTCGCTAGATGACCTTGCCAAGCTGGCTTTGCTAGATGACCTTGCCAAGCCGGCTTCGCTAGACCGGTCACGGCCCTGTCCTTACCAAGCCGGCTTCGCTAGATGTCCTTGCCAAGCCAACTTCGCTAGACCGGTCACGGCCCTGTCCTTGCCAAGCCGGCTTCGCTAGATGACCTTGCCAAGCCGGCCTCGCTAGACCGGTCACGGAACACTCCTTGCAAAGCTGGCCTTGCTAGGTGAGCACAAGGATCATCACCTGATGATCGTGGCTAAACCCCCTTACCTACTTCCTTAACCAGCCTCTGGCGATGTACATTTTCAAAGTGTCAAAACCCACTCCTTGCGAAGCCGGCTTCGCTAGATGACCTTGCCAGCCGGCTTGCTAGATGTCCTTGCCAAGCCGGCTTTACAAGGCCCACCCGGGGGAGCCGCCCATCGCCCCCCCAGAAGGGGCTCACCTTCCCGGGTAAACATTCAGCAAAAAGGGCCCACCTCCGGGCACCTTGACCTCCGGTCGAACCTGGGCACCCACACTTAAGCCCCCCCCTGTGGCCACGCAAAGCCGCGCGCCAAGGCGGCCGTGCCCCTGGTACTCCGTTTCGCTAGATGTCCTTGCCAAGCCGGCTTCGCTAGACCGGTCACGGCCCGCTCCTTGCCAAGCGGCTTCGCTAGATGTCCTTGCAAAGCCGCTGGCTAGATGTCCTTGCCAAGCCGGCTTCGCTAGACCGGTCACGGCCCGCTCCTTGCCAAGCCGGCTTGGCTAGATGTCCTTGCCAAGCCGGCTTCGCTAGATGTCCTTGCCAAGCCGGCTTTACAAGGAAGCCCATTTTCACACTTTGAATCTAGCTGTTGGATTCCGTCCCAAACGCTGCGAGAGGGACAGCATCCAACAGCTCGTTTCAAAGTGTCAAAAACCCACTCCTTGCGAAGCCGGCTTCGCTAGATGACCTTGCCAAGCTGGCTCGCTAGATGACCTTGCCAAGCCGGCTTCGCTAGACCGTCACGGCCCTGTCCTTACCAAGCCGGCTTCGCTAGATGTCCTTGCCAAGCCGGCTTCGCTAGACCGGTCACGGCCCTGTC